CGGGGAGAGGGACGGAGGGTGGGTTAGGGAGATGCTGGTCAAAGGATACCATCCATCCAAATTTCAAGTAGATCAGAGGAGTAAGTCCAAGTAATCTGTTGGGGTTAATAACAATGTATTGCATTCTTACAAATTGCTGATAGAGTAGATTTTAAATGTTCCTGTTACCAAAAAAATGATAAACCTGTGAGGTAATGCATATGTTAATTAGCTCAATTTAGCCATTCCACAAATATATATATTTCAAAACATGAAACATATATATTTCAGAACATGTACATAATAGTCAACGTTTGTCAGTTAAAGTAAAAACTTTGGAGAATAACCAGAGATTATTACTAAAATAAATTTTGAATTATGACTCTAGCAATATGTAGCTAAGAAAAATACTTAAAAGCAAAGGGAAAATGTAGAAAGGCAGTGGTGTGAAGCAGCAGACCAAGTTTGGGAAAGATGAGATTTTTCACTATGGATCCGTTGATAACATGTCAGATATGGGTGCACAACGCAAAGCTGAAAGAAATAAGAGAGAGAAAGAGCTTTTTCTGTCATTAAGGAAAATTTGGATTTCATTCTGTTGGTAGTACGAAGCCACCTAAGAATTCAACAGAGAGCAGGACGTATCACACATGCTCCTTAGGAAGACTGTGTTTGGGAATCAAACAGATCAATTTAAAAAATTTAAGTACCCAGAATAAATTTATTGTATAATAAATAAAATGATTTAAATAGATTAAAAGTATGTCCATGAAATATTAATACATCCATGGAACACAAAAGAAAATCAATCAGATAACTGACCACAAAAAAATGTTAAATCCAATTAAAGAGTAGAAATTTTAAAGGTTAAAATCTTTCATCATAAATACTGTGACTATAAATAATTTTAAAACATTGAGCAAAAAAGTAAAATTTTAAAAAACCATGCAATATGATACTTAAAAATGTAGAGCTGTCATATGAAAAATGTTACATGTTGTGCCCTGAATACTTTCTCCAATCTAATGTTTTTAAACTTGTATGCCTTGGTTTTATGATCATGTTTTTGTGGCTTAATACTGTGGCAGCTGACACAATAAGGGGTTTAGATAAGATAATTCATGCTATCTTAAAAAAAGAAGAAAAAGAAAAATCTATATGCTACTTACTATTCATTACTATGTCTGCATTTAAATAAAAATAATATTTAATAAATGCTTATTATGCTGTGAAAAAATTCTATCCTTATTTGGGTTGTGTTAGTTTGGGTTTAAATTTTAATATCTATCAAATTCCCTTTTGTATTCCCTGATAGCCTAAACAGATGCTTAAATCATATTTATTGTAATTAACCTACTTAGTTTCCTTTGTTTTTGATTCTTTATTATTAATAATTCCTCTCTACAGCCTACGTTTTCTACTAAATCTATTCATTGGCAGCATGCACAGATAATCTTGGTCTTTGAAAACTGTCTTGCATTACCAAACAAAAAAATAATTTGATTGATTCTCTGCAGCAAGGTTTTCAAAATACTTCAAAGTCATATTATATGATTTTAATCAATTCAGTGAAAGGTTAATATTTTGAAATATAAAGGCTCTCTCTGTATTTCAACTATTATTTTGAATAACGGATACCCATTTCAAACAAAATGCATTTCAAAATCATAGCAATTGTTAATAATATTCTTCTAAAAGAAATTTATGTTAGAATTATAACACAGAAAAAAATTAAAAATCCAATATAACACAAGCTGAGGCATACATAAGTGTGAAAACTAAAGAACCAATTATTTAAGCATATTAAGAATTAAAAATGAGAATATCCATAATTGTTTTTATGCACAAATTTAAAGTATACTAAACTGGCTTACTGATGACATTATTTTAGAACTTGGTGATTAAAGACCTAAAAGTGGTCATTAGAAATTAATTTCATGCCATCGTCTCTGGAGAGAGCATTATAAACAGGTATGCCTCCTCTACTACACTGACTCATTCAAAAATACATTTATTATGCATCTATGATGTTTGAAAGGACAATGGCCAAGAGACTTTGGTGTTTAGGTGAATGGGTAGTAGTTAGGATTAAAAAGGTGAGAAGACACGTGCCCTCAAAGTGAAAAGTATGGCCACTTACTAGTGACAACACAAAGCACACGTACTACAAATGAAGAAAGCAGCCATATTACCTGTTGTTAAATGCGTTTCTTAAAATATAATTAAATAGTTTAAATTTTAGTAGAAAAGTTTTATAAATTTCTACGAATATTTTCACCATCTATTTCCTATGCAGCGTTTAAAGATTTAGATGGTTCTAATTTCCCACAGTAAATATCTTTTATTAAAAACCATTTAAATACCTATGGTCATATTGAAACGGGAAAGGTTCCCTTGTCCCTGTTGCAGGAAGTGCGATGTGGCTGTGGCTTGCTTCTTCAGTGCCCTGCTGCTCAAACTTCTAGGTAGCATACAGACGGACAGGCTGTGGGGCTCTGACCCCACTGCAGTGTCTAGGGATGAAAGTTTACAGCTCCTGAGACCCCCAGTGGGCGTGTGCTTCCGGGTGCTCTTTTAGTTGCCTTCTACAGGTGGTTTGTCTTAGTCCACTCAATTAGACCCAATTGGACCCTCTATCTTCTGGCAAGGACAGAAGGCTTTCTGTATCCTGGGTTCTTGCCTTGGTGTGCTGGGAAGAATCGGATTCACATGTGGGATTGGGGAATGAGTGCAAAATTTTATTGAGTGGAAGTTGCTCTCAGCTGATGCAGGAGCCATAAGGAAGATGGTTTTCCCCTGGAGTTGGGACGCTCTGTGGCAATCAAAGGCCTGCCGGCACTCAGGTGCCTGTCAGTGTGTTCTTCTGCCAGTGTGCTTACGTCTTCTACTGCCGATGGGCTTTTCTGGAGGTTTAGCCGCCTGTGTGTCTGCCCGCTAGCGTGTTGGGTTTTTATAGGCCCAGGTGGTCTTAGGAAATACATTTGGGCAGGAAATGTTTGTCCTCACCTAGGTATCTGGGGATGGAACCCTAGCCAGGGACCCGCCTTTCTCTCCAGCACTTTCCTTCCCCTGTTCCATATCATGACCATGCTCTTCCTTTGCCAGCATTCCCGTATCAATATAACAGGCACCAACTAATAAATCTTCAATTATTATTGGCTCCATTTGTCTGACAGTCCATTTTAAAAATCGAATAATAATTCCTTTACTTACACACACACACACACAAAACTGAAGAGAGAAAAATCAAGCAATAGTTTTCTTAAAGAAAGTAGTTTCAGTTAAGTAATCTAACATTATGTACTTAAAAATAGATATATTTTGAAAGTTGAATTCATCTGATGGGCAACTATCTACTACAGTTAAGACTTTTTCATCAGTAGAGAGTTTACCAGATAGTGAACTTTATTGGCTAACTACTGTTTGCAAACTCCAGCTTTAACATATTTGTTAACTCATCCCTCTATTATATGTTTATAAGTAGTTTTACAATATAAAAAAAAGAAAACCTCTTTCTAAAGCACTATAAAATGCTATTTTTTTTTAAAAAAGGATACATTTTATATGGTATATAAGTTGTTTCCCAAGAAGAATATGGTAGTGTTTAAGGACAGTGATAGACCTACTCTGATAAGGTCTGTTAGTTTTTTAGGGTAAGAACTTTTCAAGTGGGATTTTCCGGTCAAAATACATTTTCCATACTATAAACAGTGACTGAAAATAAACACACATTTTTCTGAGAGGTAATTTTACATTTTGCCACATATTTGTCATAACATTCCACCTTAAAATAATATTTCTGAATTCTTACCTTAACTGACCCATTAACAGTCTTCCTCCCCAATTTCATGCTTCAGTGTGATCACTAACAAAACAGTCGACATTTCTTAGCTGGAAGGTAATAGCATTTCTGAATGACCCGAAATCCTCTGGAATTGTATTCTACCTGATTTTCAAGGCTGTTTAATCCATTTGTATGCTCCAAATTTTCCATTTGAATTTGCATCAAGTCATGTAATATCAGTTTCTTCTGTGTCACCTGATGTAGCAATAACTTTATATAATGTGACACTGTGTAATGTATAGTTTAAAAATCCCTTTTTTTCTACTGGAGTGGGATATATCCAATGCTGCATCTGTCCTACACCACTGATCTACTTAATGGGTATAACTACAAAAAAAAATATCTAGCTACTTCTGTGCATTTCAGTATAACGATTACACACTTGTCTTTCTAATTAACCATACCACTTTGTACCGTAAACATGTTTCTTATATCATATTACAAAGAAGCTAAATATTAAAACAATAATAAATTTCCCTTTCCCCCTTCCACCCATGGGGGTTGTCAGGTTGGAATGCAAGAAAACAATATCACTTTGTATTACTGAATTTTGTTTAAATATTCATTTGAGAAGTGAATACCAGAAAGGGAGCATTATTTCTGGATGAAATTTAGCAGGCAAAGGATAGTGAATTCTGTCTCAAAGACCAGACTTCATGTCATATTCTAGATTGTGGGTCTGCAAACAATGACCTGCAAAACAAATCTAGCCTACAGTCTGTATTTATGATTTATTGGAACACAGCTATACCCATTCTTTTTCATATGTCATTCTTTTTCATATTGGCTGCTCTTAAGCTACAAAGGCAATACTACTCACTAGTTGCCACAAATACTATCTGTCCCAAAATGCTCAAAGATATTCTACCTGGCCCTTTAAAAATTACTGATCTCTATTCTAGAATTTTTGTGAACTGTGAGCTATTTGTTTCATGATGTTAAAAAAGACATAATCACACAAATTCTCTGCAAGGATGACATAATTTTTAAAAGCAAATAAACATAGTGAAATGCTAAATGAAACTAGTTCTCTTGCAAGCTCCAGAAATACACTCATATCTCATAGCTGAGGGAGCTTTTGTCTCTTATTTAAGTACTTAGTTTTTGTTTTGTATTTAGGTATGTTTCTAATGCTTATTATTTGATTTCTTATCTCCATTGCTTCTTATATGGAAAGCAAGGATTTGGAAAGAGCAGTGTACCGACTTCTAAGGAGAGTTGGCATCTTAAAGAAAACCTCTTAATTAGTGAGTTTCTCTAAGAGAAGAATAAAAGACTGTCTAGTACACTAAGTAAGTAACTAAATACTAACAAACTAATCACCTACTCTGGGTTAGATTCTGTAAGACCATCTGAAACCAACTGACTTTCTGTTGCTATAGGAATATCCTTGCACTGTATTACTCAACCACATTTGGAGGGAAATTCCCATACTTCTCTTTGAGAAAAAAAAAAAAAACTTTCTAAAGAGTTTTATAGACTACAGCATGGTGCTAGACTAGGCAAACATAGAGGGAGATGAAAGGCTCGTTAAGAGCAGCCTACATTGAGGATTACAGAAACGTCTTCCCCAAAAGACGATAATGAACAGACCCAATGGATGAGACCTTTACCAGTGGAAGTCTGATGTAATAAGGAGTCTGTCAGCATCCAGGAACTGTGCATAATTTGATGTGCAAATAAACATTTCCCTTCCTATCTTCTGATAACGTTTAAGTGCTATTTAAGGTTTTCCTTTGAGGAAGAGATATCCGTTGATAGCAGAAGAAATAATGAGCCAAATATACTGAGACTTCCTGGCAACCAGTCTGACTGAATGGGTAGCCATTCTGATATGTACCTGTGTGTACGTGTTGGAAGGAGGTGCAGTAAACAATTAAATATCACCCTCTGACTGTTACTAACCTGAAACACTCTTTGAATTCTTCCTCCACCCACACCTCTCTCTTTCCCTTGAGACACTTCCGGTTTGAGTCTGATTATAGGAGATAGAATCCATTGTCAATAATACACTTTGATTAGTTAATACGTTGTTTAAATTGCAATAAGAAGTGAATTGCTCATATACTTGTACAAACTGTCACTGTGTGTATACAGTAATCTAATGTATTCTGCAATTTTTCCTTGTGAAATTAACAGGGCCTGGGGAAAATTCAGTTATTAAACTTGAATTTGCATTTGAGACATACAGAACACTAAAGAATCTCAATTTATACGTGAAGTTAACAAGGTACAGAGTGTATGCATTAAATTCCCTTTCTGTTTCTGCCATCTCTGTTATATTACTTTAATATGGACATAGTAATAGATATATAACAAAAGTGCTACGTACATCAATACAGTCCTGAGACCAATCTCTTTGTGTAGTTTTATCAAATTTAAATGACATACTTAAAAAGAGTGTCTTCTGAGTATCCTACCAGATATATAAGGCACTATATTAAAAAAAGAAAGTCACCATGAAAGAATCTGTTCAGGGGTATTCTTCAAGTGCACTCTACATGCATAACATGAGGCTGAAGAAGCTCTCAGAAAACTCAGTTTTTTTCTACAAGAAGCATCTTGAATTTTAAACCTTCTAAATGTTGCTTTCAGGAATAGCAGCTCTCAGAGGTAACCTAATCAGCCCTTTTACCTAAAATATGTAAGATAATTTGACCTCTAGAATCTGAGAACTTTGAAAACTGCACTAGTTTGCATGAATTTCCAAGAAACAAAATTTCTTCATTGTCAAAAATGTTCAATTAGAAAAATATATCCACCTCCTACATCCTTTTAAAATCCTGTATATGCATCATATTTATATTTTTCATCAAAATAGCAAAAGGGCAGAATAAATTCTATCCCACCCAATTGTATCATGGGACAGATACTCTCTGTGTTTGCAGTTTCCTGGGAGCTAGACACTGAGAAGCATAACAACTGTGCAGAAAAAAAAAAAAAGTGGCATTTAGTGCTTTCCTTCTGGGAAAGACAAGGAAAAGTTCAAGAACCACTCCCATGTGGCAGAGACTGAAATGCAGAATCTACAGAACACATCTGAAAATGCTCTTTGCTCTATGTAGGCTTATACATACTGCATCTAACACTAAATAGAATGTCATTTTTCTGTTTTACATTTAGTGTGGGCAAGAGAGCATGAGTGGAGCACACCCAGTGGTACTACAAGATGCACTGGCTGCCTTGATAGTTAACCTGACACTCAGCTCCCTAAGGTACCATCAGGGAATCACACAGGCACCAAGCACTGTAATTGTCATTTTTACTGACAACTGATTGAAGTACTATTATATTCCGGAGTAGCATTGACAAAAACATTGAATTATTTGTAATAAGAACATAATTTTAATTTAAATTATTTTTTAAAATTTTAACAAAATTGAAATGAGCTTTTAAAAACTGTATAGTTTCAGTATTTCTATGTTTGTCCGGTAAACTATTTATAAGTGAGATAATCAAATGAGATAATTAATTTAAACCATCTTTTCTTTTTTTTTTTTTTAAATACCATGAATTTTATTTTATTTTATTTATTTATTTTTTTTAAATTTTTTATTGGATTATAGGTTTTGGGGTACATGAGCAGAGCATGCAAGACAGTTGCGTAGGTACACACATGGCAGTGTGCTTTGCTTTTCTTCTCCCCTTCACCCACATTTGGCATTTCTCCCCAGGCTATCCCTCCCCACCTCCCCCTCCCACTGGCCCTCCCCTTTTCCCCCCAATAGACCCCACTGTTTAGTACTCCCCTTTCTGTGTCCATGTGTTCTCATTTTTCATCACCCACCTATGAGTGAGAATATGCGGTGTTTCATTTTCTGTTCTTGTGTCAGTTTGCTGAGGATGATGTTTTCCAGATTCATCCATGTCCCTACAAACGACACGAACTCATCATTTCTGATTGCTGCATAATATTCCATGGTGTATATGTGCCACATTTTTCCAATCCAGTCTATTATCAATGGGCATTTGGGTTGATTCCAGGTCTTCGCTATTGTAAACAGTGCTGCAATGAACATTCGTGTACATGTGTCCTTATAGTAGAACGATTTATAGTCTTTTGGATATATACCCAGTAACTGGGATTGCTGGGTCAAATGGAATTTCTATTTCTAACGCCTTGAGGAATCGCCACACTGTCTTCCACAATGGTTGAACTAATTTACACTCCCACCAACAGTGTAAAAGTGTTCCTTTTTCTCCACATCCTCTCCAGCATCTGTTGTCTCCAGATTTTTTAATGATCGCCATTCTAACTGGCGTGAGATGGTATCTCAATGTGGTTTTGATTTGCATCTCTCTGATGACCAGTGACGATGAGCATTTTTTCATATGATTGTTGGCCTCATATATGTCTTCTTTCGTAAAGTATCTGTTCATATCCTTTGCCCACTTTTGAATGGGCTTGCTTGTTTTTTTCCTGTAAATCTGCTTGAGTTGTTTGTAAATTCTGGATATCAGCCCTTTGTCAGATGGGTAGACCGCGAAAATTTTTTCCCATTCTGTTGGTTGCCGATCCACTCTAGTGACTGTTTCTTTTGCCGTGCAGAAGCTGTGGAGTTTCATTAGGTCCCATTTGTCTATTTTGGCTTTTGTTGCCAATGCTCTTGGTGTTTTGTTCATGAAGTCCTTGCCTACTCCTATGTCCTGGATAGTTTTGCCTAGATTTCCTTCTAGGGTTTTTATGGTGCCAGGTCTTATGTTTAAGTCTTTAATCCATCTGGAGTTAATTTTAGTGTAAGGTGTCAGGAAGGGGTCCAGTTTCTGCTTTCTGCACATGGCTAGCCAGTTTTCCCAACACCATTTGTTAAACATGGAATCCTTGCCCCATTGCTTGTTTTTGTCAGGTTTATCAAAGATTGTATAGTTGTATGTATGTTGTGTTGCCTCCGGTGCCTCTGTTTTGTTCCATTGGTCTATATCTCTGTTTTGGTACCAGTACCATGCTGTTTTGATTACTGTAGCCTTGTAGTATAGTTTGAAATCCGGTAGTGTGATGCCCCCCGCTGTGTTCTTTTTGCTTAGAATTGACTTGGCTATGCGGGCTCTCTTTTGGTTCCATATGAAGTTCATGGTGGTTTTTTCCAGTTCTGTGAAGAAAGTCAATGGTAGCTTGATGGGGATAGCGTTGATTATGTAAATTACTTTGGGCAGTATAGCCATTTTCACGATATTAATTCTTCCTAACCATGAACATGGAATGTTTCTCCATCTGTTTGTGTCCTCTCTGATTTCGTTGAGCAGTGGTTTGTAGTTCTCCTTGAAGAGGTCCCTTACGTTCCTTGTGAGTTGTATTCCAAGGTATTTTATTCTTTTTGTAGCAATTGCGAATGGCAGTTCGCTCTTGATTTGGCTTTCTTTAAGTCTGTTATTGGTGTAGACGAATGCTTGTGATTTTTGCACATTGATTTTATATCCTGAGACTTTGCTGAAGTTGCTTATCAGTTTCAGGAGTTTTTGGGCTGAGGCGATGGGGTCTTCTAGGTATACTATCATGTCGTCAGCAAATAGAGACAATTTGGCTTCCACCTTTCCTATTTGAATACCCTTTATTTCTTTTTCTTGCCTGAGTGCTCTGGCTAGAACTTCCAGTACTATATTGAATAGGAGTGGTGAGAGAGGGCATCCTTGTCTAGTGCCAGATTTCAAAGAGAATGCTTCCAGTTTTTGCCCATTCAGTATGATATTGGCTGTTGGTTTGTCATAAATAGCTTTTATTACTTTGAGATACGTTCCATCGATACCGAGTTTATTGAGGGTTTTTAGCATAAAGGGCTGTTGAATTTTGTCAAATGCCTTCTCATGCGTCAATTGAGATAATCATGTGGTTTTTGTTTTTGGTTCTGTTTATGTGGTGAATTACGTTGATAGACTTGCGTATGTTGAACCAGCCTTGCATCCCTGGGATGAATCCTACTTGATCATGATGAATAAGTTTTTTGATTTGCTGTTGCAATCGGCTTGCCAATATTTTATTGAAGATTTTTGCATCTATGTTCATCATGGATATTGGCCTGAAGTTTTCTTTTCTCGTTGGGTCTCTGCCAGGTTTTGGTATCAGGATGATGTTGGTCTCATAAAATGATTTGGAAAGGATTCCCTCTTTTTGGATTGTTTGAAATAGTTTTAGAAGGAATGGTACCAGCTCCTCCTTGTGTGTCTGGCAGAATTCGGCTGTGAACCCATCTGGACCTGGGCTTTTTTTGTGAGGTAGGCTCTTAATTGCTGCCTCAACTTCAGACCTTGTTATTGGTCTATTCATAGTTTCAGCTTCCTCCTGGTTTAGGCTTGGGAGGACACAGGAGTCCAGGAATTCATCCATTTCTTCCAGGTTTACTAGTTTATGTGCATAGAGTTGTTTGTAATATTCTCTGATGATGGTTTGAATTTCTGTGGAATCTGTGGTGATTTCCCCTTTATCATTTTTTATTGCATCTATTTGGTTGTTCTCTCTTTTCTTTTTAATCAATCTGGCTAGTGGTCTGTCTATTTTGTTGATCTTTTCAAAAAACCAGCATCTTGGATTTATTGATTTTTTGAAGGGTTTTTCGTGTCTCAATCTCCTTCAGCTCAGCTCTGATCTTAGTAATTTCTTGTCTTCTGCTGGGTTTTGAGTTTTTTTGATCTTGCTCCTCTAGCTCTTTCAATTTTGACGATAGGGTGTCAATTTTGGATCTCTCCATTCTCCTCATATGGGCACTTATTGCTATATACTTTCCTCTAGAGACTGCTTTAAATGTGTCCCAGAGGTTCTGGCACGTTGTGTCTTCATTCTCATTGGTTTCGAAGAACTTCTTTATTTCTGCCTTCATTTCGTTGTTTACCCAGTCAACATTCAAGAGCCAGTTGTTCAGTTTCCATGAAGCTGTGCGGTTCTGGGTCGGTTTCTGAATTCTGAGTTCTAACTTGATTGCACTATGGTCTGAGAGGCTGTTTGTTATGATTTCAGTTGTTTTGCATTTGTTGAGCAGTGCTTTACTTCCAATTATGTGGTCAATTTTAGAGTAGGTGTGATGTGGTGCTGAGAAGAATGTATATTCTGTGGATTTGGGGTGGAGAGTTCTGTAAATGTCCACCAGGTTTGCTTGCTCCAGGTCTGAGTTCAAGCCCTGGGTATCCTTGTTGATTTTCTGTCTGGTTGATCTGTCTAGTATTGACAGTGGAGTGTTAAAGTCTCCCACTATTATTGTGTGGGAGTCTAAGTCCTTCTGTAAGTCATTAAGAACTTGCCTTATGTATCTGGGTGCTCCTGTGTTGGGTCCATATATGTTTAGGATCGTTAGCTCTTCTTGTTGTATCGATCCTTTTACCATTATGTAATGGCCTTCTTTGTCTCTTTTGATCTTTGTTGCTTTAAAGTCTATTTTATCAGAGCTGAGAATTGCAACTCCTGCTTTTTTTTGCTTTCCATTAGCTTGGTAAATCTTCCTCCATCCCTTTATTTTGAGCCTTTGTGTATCCTTGCATGTGAGATGGGTTTCCTGGATACAGCACACTGATGGGTTTTGGATTTTTATCCAATTTCCCAGTCTGTGTCTTTTGATTGGTGCATTTAGTCCATTTACATTTAGGGTTAATATTGTTATGTGTGAATTTGATACTGCCATTTTGATTCTAAGTGGCTGTTTTGCCTGTTAGTTGTTGTAGATTCTTCATTATGTTGAAGCTCTTTAGCATTCAGTGTGATTTTGGAGTGGCTGGTACTGGTTGATCCTTTCTGTGTGTAGTGCCTCTTTTAGGAGCTCATGTAAAGCAGGCCTGGTGGTGACAAAATCTCTGAGTACTTGCTTGTTCGCAAAGGATTTTATTCTTCCTTCACTTCTGAAGCTCAGTTTGGCTGGATATGAAATTCTGGGTTGAAAGTTCTTTTCTTTAAGAATGTTGAATATTGGCCCCCACTCTCTTCTGGCTTGTAGTGTTTCTGCCGAGAGATCTGCTGTGAGTCTGATGGGCTTCCCTTTGTGGGTGACCCGACCTTTCTCTCTGGCTGCCCTTAGTATTCTCTCCTTTATTTCAACCCTGTTGAATCTGACGATTATGTGCCTTGGGGTTGCTCTTCTTGCGGAATATCTTTGTGGTGTTCTCTGTATTTCCTGCAATTGAGTGTTGGCTTGTCTTGCTAGGTGGGGGAAATTTTCCTGGATGATGTCCTGAAGAGTATTTTCCAGCTGGGATTCATTCTCTTCGTCCCCTTCTGGTACACCTATCAAACGTAGGTTAGGTCTTTTCACATAGTCCCACATTTCTTGGAGACTTTGTTCATTCCTTTTTGCGCTTTTTTCTCTGATCTTGGTTTCTCGTTTTATTTCATAGAGTTGGTCTTCAACTTCAGATATTCTTTCTTCTGCTTGGTCAATTCGGCTATTGAAACTTGCGTTTGCTTCACGAAGTTCTCGTATTGTGTTTTTCAGCTCCTTTAATTCATTCATATTCCTCTCTAAGGTATCCATTCTTG